CGGCGCCAAAGCCATTAGTACTAGTACATTCAACACCATCCAATTCTGAACATACTACTCCTCCTTCTTCACAGCAATCAACACCGGAAAGTCCAAGAACGCAAATAAAAAAGAGAGTTTGTCGTGGCCCAACTCCAGTGCTATCTCCTGTTCTAAGAAGAGCTCTGTTTATACCTGCTGCTGCTGTTAACAAAAAAAGACGCCAGACAAACAAACCAATCATCTCTCGCAAGAGTGCAGAAACTTCATGAACGCTATAAGCACTGCTAAAGACGACAAAAAAAGTGAAAGCTTTCATTGAGGTAATGGGATCACGGGCAAGCTCTTTGAATTACAAGTATGCGCAGAACCAATGATCTTGATGAAGCTGACGCAGCCGGTGTTGAGGGGTATTTTGTTTCAAAAAAGAAAAATTTGATTCCTAATGAATTACAAGATGTGTATAATTACATGCTCCTTGGCAATGTCCCAGATAGTTGGTCACAAACCTTTATTGATAGTGAATGCCTTGGATCAAAGGCATCCAACTCTGCTTGGTACATCCCTCCGTAACAGCAATCCAATCCGCCAGTGCACCATTGGACAACAGCAAGAACAAGAAGAATACTAACACCAGCAACCGCGACAACAAGAACAAGCAAACTACTTCATTTCCTTAGTGCACCTTATGCGAGGATGGCGATTAGCGGCTCTGTGGATGGAGCACAGTTCAATCACAGGTGTCGGAAGACCAAACRGAGAAAGGAACATGAAGAAGAAGTATGGTAACGCGTAATTTTAAACAGCAAAAATCAAGCAAATATTGATTCCTAGTACAAATTTGATGTAGGATTCTACGAGAGATTTGGATATCAGGGGAGTATACTGTACAGTTTTTGATATTTTTGATATTTTGATCTGTCTAATTAGCCAATCAGATCGCTTGATTCTTATGGATTTTAGTATTATCCCTAACTCTAAATTAACGCCAAAATGGCTCTAAAATGACGTATCGACCCAAAACGAACAGCTGTGAGTAGTACATAATAGGTACCGTACGTAATAGTAGTACAGTAATTTTGGCGTTTGAGTAGAATGCCTTTTTTCTATGTAGGGCGTGGTAGGCTTTTWACGGTTAACGCACTTTATATTGAATTAACTGGTACGTACAAGTACCTATCTTCAGTTCTTCTGAAAAGGCTCTTCGTTGTGACAACTAACTGTTACGAGTCCGAGTTCGTACTAGTACTCGTACGTACCGATAGGATAAGTACAGGTACAAGTAAAGTACTCGTACTCGTACTCGTACTTGTATGTAATATAATCGGCCACCTGCTGGCTGCATACGTGTAATCCGTATGTATTCTGATCCGTACTCTGAAAAACCTTCCTTAAGGAGAAAATTATGTGCGGTTGAGCGCGATAGCGCGAGACTGCTCATAATTTTCTCCTTAAGGAAGGTTTTTCAGAGTACGGATCAGAATACATATGGATTACTACACCAAGTAATCTAACTGAGGCCGAGGACGAGAGCGAAGCTCGAGGCCGAGGCTGAAGTTAGAGTACTTCAGCAATCAGCACTGAGACCTTGGTGTTGGAATCAGTCTCAGTGCTGATTGCTGTCGTATGCAGACAGCCAGTGGCTGATTATTTACCTAATCAACCAGTTGGCTGGATTTTTCAGCATGTAATCACCACTGCTGGCAACAAGAACAAGAACAAGCAACGCACAAGGTAAAACGTCACCAAGGATTGCGCCGATACTAGCAAGTATTACTGATGATAGTGTAAGTCTGTTTTTCATTACTACTATATTGATTACAAAAATACTGCTTGGTTGTCAAAAAATAGACAAGAAATGGCAGCCGTTTTCCTCACATAATACAACAGTGATTGACTGTGCCGCCACGTTGGGCCTCTTCAATCTCTTTCAATCGCTGAGACATCTTCAGTTCATTTTCGAGCTGGGCTCTTTTGCTTTTCTCCCAAGCAAGCTCCTTTTGGTTGTACTCTTCTTTTGCCTCCTGGATTTTTTCGGATAGCTTGCTCTGTTGCAAATCATCAGTAAGAATTGAAACCTTTTTGCTTAGGTCATTGATGGTCTTTTGGGAATCCTCCAGCTGGCAACGAATCTTCTTTGCTGCCTGCTCAAACTGTTCAGATTCGATCTTTCTTTTTTCAGCTTCCTTTCTTGCATCACAAAGGAATTTCCTAAGAATGCTCTTGGTTGGTGTTACTGCTCCTGCTGCAGACGCACCCTCACTTCTTTGTTCTTCCACTACTATTCTTCTGTTACTGGTGTCATCTGGAATAGGAGGTCGATTCAAAGCCACTACTGGTGACGGGAATTCTTTGTCGATGCTGCTGTCAGGTTCTCGACCGTTCTTGCTTTCCGGAACTGCTACTGGACCATTTTTGATTCCATGTAGCCCACCTTGAAGAACACCTTGGACAGCCTTTTGAATAACTGAATTTTGATGGATATATGGCTCAGCAGACTTATTACTCTTATGTCTGAGATGATTCATCCTCATCTTCTCAGGAACAGCAAGGTCAGAAGCAAGGATAGTGCAGCAACGGTGGCGATTATCATGTGGTGTATACTTCTCCCAATCCTTGAAATCAGCAACCTCAGCAAACTCTTTAACCCACTGTCTTATGGATCCTTTCCCAACCGGTACATTTCCTTTGAAGAAGTATGGATTACTCTTCTTCCTCTTCAAGTTAGGGTGACAAAGGAAACGATCTTGCTTTGGATCACACTTTGCTCGATAGAAGAAGATGAGCTTTACAACACAGTTAGGGTTCTCAGGGTCTTCCACAACACAGGGGTACTGTTTTGTTATAGTTGGATTAGCAAGAGATAACTGGTGTGACTTATCAAAKCCCCCTCCTGGAGCTATAATYGCATACKTGAGACCTTGCATGCTTCCGTGTCTGAAGGTTCCCATCCTCACGTGTGGCCACAAGAGACCAGCAAGCTCGGTCCCCCCTCTAATTCCAAACTGCCTTCCKAGCTCCATTGCTAGTAACTTTAGCAAGTCCTGYATATGTTYRTATGGCTTGTAGATTCCATCTGTTAACACCTTTCTAAACTTTTCATCCACAAACTCATCAAATTCAGCCTTGGTTCTCTTTGTACCAATTAAGGGATCAGCTTCTCGTTTAGMATTGAAATCATGCTTAATAAAGGCCTGGAAGCCCCCTTTTCCTTTGAAATCACCTTCTTTATAGCAAACATCTCTCTCGTGAAGAGCAACAAAAAGCTGTCGGATCCTTACTGTCATAGTGCTTGTATCCAGAGGACCACCAGTCTTTGTGTTCCTAATGTGCTTTGCCCAAATTTTCAGGGCTCTATCCATTATTTCCTTGCTCACTGCATTAGTTTCCCCTGTTACATGTTTAGAGAATAGATAATCCTCGGTCATTCCATCTGTCATTAATACTTTTGTAGTGAATATTTCATACATAATCTTATCACCTGGATCATTTGTCTCTGGGTTGGTTGCATCAGCAACAATCTGAACAAATTTTTCATGAGTTCCCCTAATGGTCTTTGCATACTTCTTTGTCCTAGCTTCCGCCTCCTGATATTCATCACTTCCGAGTGAGTTGAATGCGTTTGCATTGTCACGGATTGTCTTTGCATACTCTATTAAGGAGGAAGAAGACTTCTTCGGTGCCTCTGGCGACCTGTCTTGTTGTGTTTCTTTTTTTTTGTATCGGTGTTCACTGTATTTTCTTCCTTGTTATTACTACTAGTAGTGTCCCGTAAAGGAGGATGATCCTTTGCAGTACTAGTAGGAGGATTGGGGTTAGGAGGTAACAATGCCTCCGCAGGAGGGAGGGCTTGGGCTGGTATTGCTGATGACGGTGGTCTGGTTTTCTTATTGGTGGTAAAACGCTTTGCATACGGATTGCGGACAATAGTAGAGTGCGGAGGAGGGGGAGGAGCTGTTTTCTTCCCAGGGGTGGTGTCTTTTAAAGCAGCACCATCCATTGTAATTCTCCTTGGGACTCTTTTCCCTGCACCGGCGTATGGCAAAGTGATTTGCTCTTTTGCTTGTGGAGATTCATCAGCGGTCGCTTCAGGTTCATCAGGCATCATGTCAACTTCGATTGGTGTACTGTCAACACAGAAGGTTACATCCCTCCCCACTCTGTTTCTTGCAGCAAACGGTTCCTTTTTCACAATACTGTCTTGTGTGGACAAACTAGGTTCGAACAAGTGGGTATACTCAGCCCACGCACCTGCATGATTCTTGTTGTTCTTCCGACGCTCCTGCTGCCGTGTAGTTCATTGTGGCCTAGTGCCGGTGTTCTTTGACAAACAGCGACCCAGCAGTGTGGGTCTTTCTTGTTTGTTGTTCTTACTGCTTCTTCTAGTTGTAACCACCATGGTCCTATGAACTATGAGCTTGTAACCATGCTGGTCCTATTTTTCCTGTACTATTTTTTGGCTACGTTTTCATTGGATCACGCCATTATCTTGTGTAGAAATTAGGTACACTTGTATGTGAGAGGGTTCTTCTTAATGATGAAGACTTCTTTGTTTTCGTAGAGGAGAAAAACACAGTTGTTGCAAAAGAAAAGTGGAGTGGTACACAGTTTCGTAGTGAGTGACTAAACGTACTGAAAATACTAAAAATTGAATTCAGTTGAAAACAAAAAAATAGTTAGAGTACTGTTGGAGACCTGAAAAAAGTACTCCACATTGTGTACTCTCCTGAATTTTTGGTTTCGGAGTTGTATTCAGGTGCAGCCCGACTACGAGCATTATCATGGAAAAAACTGGGCGCTGCCATAGGGATGGTGCTGAATACTATTTCAGAATACAGTAATCAAAAATTTCAGGTTGTAATCCAATGAGGTGCGAGACATAGGACAAAAAATAACTAGTGTTTCTTAGTGCGCGATTTTAGTATTGCTTTAGTATTCAACCGCGCGTGATTACATGCTCAAATCCAGCAACTGGTCGATTACTCGTGCAATCCAATGTTCCCATCGCTTCTCTACAATACGAATACCCACTGCAAACAACCATTCAAAGTATCTTTCTTCGCATCAATTCAATCTTCGATACGCCATGCCCCGATACAGCGACGAGTGGCTGATTGACAAAACCATGTTTGACTACGTTCAAGGTGGTTCCTGCGCTTGCTGCTCCGGATTTCTCTTCATGCCTGGAGGGACCCCTGAGCTGATCCGATCCATGTCGGAATTTGAGACCGACGCAGCAAACGATGAAGTATCTGCATTGGACAAACTTCCTTGGCCCCAGGAGATGAAGGATGAGGTGTGGAAAGAACGAGTTCGACTGCGTCAATATTGCAAGAAAAACATGAAAATATACAAATCTTTCTGGGAAGATTATGGAGACCGATATCAGGCTTGGTTTCACGAACTATCGAGGCTGAAAATACGTCGTTTGTTCCAATTGGCTCGGACAGAGGTCGTGGAACGTTTGCAGCACCAAAAGTTTCATATGCATGCCGCTTTTGGGACTGTTTTGTGTGCTGTTACAGAACAAGTCGCCCATTTTGAAGTCACTAAGTACCCTGTCGACGGACGAGGTGAAGCAGAGATTGGATTTGAAAATATACTTGGATATGATAGAAGGGGAGGCTTCACCCTCAAGGATGACGAGGAAGAATCTAGAACGAAATGGCTCATTCGACACAAAGCACTTGGTGGACCAAAATTATTAGAAAGGAATCCAAAGGCAAACAACGACAGTGATAACGAGGATGGAGATGGCGATGAGAAAGAGGACGAAGACATTGACAGAAAGTCTTCTGTACCGTCATTCAGATCCGACAGAAGAATCATCCGATTGCTCATTGCACGCTGTTTTGCAGACACATTGCAAGAAGCTTTCCTTAAGGAAGTTGAAGAGAGTGGTGGATAGTGACACAGATTGTTCCATCAAGAACAAATTACCACAAAAGCATGACAGAAAGACAACACGGAGATGATTGGTCTCAAACAGCGTACAACAAACCGATCAAAAATATTGGCTAATGCATAGATCTAAATCTGCCATTACTTACTTGGACCATAGATTTTTTTGTTTATGTCAAACAACTGCTCTTGTCGCCTTTTTGAACCATACATCCAATAGCATGTTGTTTGGTACTTACCAATGTTCCCACCAAATAGGGCCTTACTCTTTACTGTGAAGAAACCACATCTCTGGCAAAAGGGCACTCAGTTTAATTTCAACTGCTACATTCCTTCTGGTCAGCTGGTACAGCAGGAATAATTGTCTACTGACCCTACTCTATTCTTCCCTTGCAAGAGGACGGCTTCAATCAGGAGACTGGCTACAGATATTAATGGTAATACAGTCTATCCTTGGTTTCAGAGACAAGGAGAAAGACTATCAAGCAGGTGTATATGACCCAGCATATGGCTATTTTCAAGAGTCAAAAGAACATCTTAATTGTCAATCCTATGCATCATGAATGGTCACAGGAGGAGGTCCTGGATGAATTTGACTCCAAGTTCCTGAATCAAAATTGTGACATTGGTATCTTTATTGGCACTACTTCTTCAAGAGATGAAAGATTCCAGCAAATAGGGTTGTATTTCATCACATTTTTTCCAGAAAGTAATATTAGTAACAATGTTACTTACCAAAACATAGGTAACAAAATTGTGCTGGGCCTCATACTATGTTTTGTGGCAGAACGCATGATGGTACTACTAGTACTACTAGTAGTAATGTTGGTGCTAGTACTAGTAGTGCTTGAGTTAGACTCTTTCTCCAGGGAAGTTTTTGGCCTACATAAATAGTAGAGGCTCATTGTCCATTTGTGATGATAGACAATAACTTGTCTGCTGTTTATTATATCAAAAGTTCCTTCTTTGACTATTTCTCCATGAAAAAAGTGTTGGACTGAATAAACTACTGTAGTCCTATCTACTGGTGATCAGAGACAATAGTAGTAACACATCCGTTCAGAATAGCAAAATACTATTTTTGGGGTAGTAGTTGCTTTTGGAGGCAGAATTACTAGTTCTTATAGGACCCTCCATTTGTTTTTCAGGAAGACACTCAGCAACCAAAATAATGATTTCTCCCCATAGTAGTTTTTCTCAATGGTGTTTAAACAATGCTCTCTGTTTTTTCTCTACCATAGAGAAACAAAGATAGTACATCCCAGGCAATGTTCTATTTATTTTTGTTTGTTTAAGAAGGAAAATACCCCATCATTTCATTATGTGAGGACAAAAAGAATAGTGTCTGGATTATATTATCTTTGCTTAATTGGGTTAGTAACTAATACTACTACTACTAACAGTAGTAAAATACTCAAATAGTCCTGAAGGAGCTAGTGGTACTAGTACTACTACTAGTTAGTACTACTAGTAGTAACTGAGTGTTACTAGTAGTATTGATGCTGGTAGTATTATATGTGCTGCTGGTGTTGCTAGCATTTTAGCATATTTTTACCTGATTTGCAATATTTCTTAGGTTTTCCCTGTAAGAATTGCCTGCTCTTCTCCATTGCTAGTAGGGTAATCTTGAAGTACTTCAACACTTCCTCTTTGCACAATCAAATCAGTCATTACACTAGGTACAAAGTACTACTGATTTAATTCTGAAATTAAAGAGAGGAAACAAAATCCTACCACAAATCAAAAAGATCAGTCATTGTCACAATTGGTCATTCCAACATCATAGATAACCCTATTCCTCCCAAGAAGACTTTTCAAAGAATTCTCAGTGAAAATAGTGACCAGTCATTCTGAAATGAAAGAGAGTCAATTCCCCCCAAAAGAGCACTAGTACTTGTTTAATGTTCAGTCATTAGTATCATTATTGGACATTCCAAAATTTAAGATAACCTAATTTCTCCCATGACTTCCTGGATATTCATTCATTATTGTAATTGGTCATTCCAAGACTAAAGATAACCCAATTCTTCCCAAGACTCAGTAGTAGTACTACTAGTAGAACATTTAGTATTTTTTCATTAGTATTACTTCCATGGGTCATTCCAAAATTGAAGAGGACCAATAACTTGTCAGCTCCTCAAAAATTGCCAGAGCAACTCTCGCTGCCAAGATGAGCAGCAATTGTTAGAGGTGTTACAGCCATGGCCTGGATGGTCCCATTGTTGTAGCCATCAACAATAATAGGGATAGCTTTGTCTTTGGCTATGATGGGCACAACTCACCAACCAAGACTGTGAACAAAGGCACTGCTGATGTCTTGTTGGACAAGTTTGAGTCCTAATGCAAGAAATAATGCCAGTTCCTCTCAAAGTTGGGGTGCAGCAACATAGAGCATACTAGCAACAAGGCAACGCCAAGGCCAATGCCAACATTTTGGTGGGTGTCAACATTCCTTATGGGACAACTGCACAAATGAGGAGTCATTATCATGATTGGTCATTCCAAAATTAAACTGGTTGATTGTAGATGGAAGAGAATCCCACTCCTAAGACATGATAAATTCAGTCACAAGCCATACTACTAGTAGTCCAAGCAACTATCAAAACAGAAGTGGGAAAAACCACAAGACAATAAGAATAGTATATTAGTAGTATGAGAAAAAGGAAGTGTTGATGGAATTGGTTGGGAAAGCTTGAGGATCAGGGTAGAAAAATAGTGGCTTTTGCTTCAGTTGGACAAGTTTTGGGGTGGAGAGAAAGAAGTGTATGACTCTCTTCTTTGCTAACCATGCTTGGTGGTGTAAGGCCTGCTGATGGGAATTAGTATCATGATCATTGAATTCTTTATTGCTTTGCTCTAATAGAACAAGAGTAATTTGAGCAAAAGTAGATTTCAATTATCAAGAAGGCTCAACATCCCAGGAAAGCCAACTGGTACAAGAACAGTACTAGAGGATATGGATACTGTCTTCCTTGTGGGAAAAGAGACAAGCATGAGTCGTGAAATTGATACTTCCATTGTTTGATAACTATAAGAACATCATTTGGTATGATGTCATTTGAAAACTTTGTGACAAAGCATTCCTATCAAGGCAACAACTTTCAAGCTATAATTACAATATTCAGAACCCTGGTGCTTTTCCACTTTATGATACTAACATTGCTCCTACCACTGATGTTACTACAAACATCACAGCAAGGTAGCATGGTTTGTTTTACAATGCAAAAGCTAATACTATCATATTTCTCAGCATCAAATTCTCCTCAGTGTCACTGATGCTAAACCAAAATTATTAGTATGGCAAGCCAACACCTTTTGCAATCGTAAATGGATCACTGACAGCAGGTGATTGTCCAAATTAGTACTACTACTGGAGCTGGCTCTTGCTTTAAATAACAAGAAGGATAAATAAATGTTTTTTGTTTTCTTATACAGCAGGTTCACACAAAAGCATTGAGCTTATAAAAGAATCTTATTATTATTTATCATCATCAGCTAGAAGAGGCACAGGGTGTACCAGGACCATAGTTTATGGGGAGAATAATGCTGCTAGTCACTCCAAGGGGCATCACTTCCCTCCAAGGAGGATTGGTGCTGGAAGCACCACCATGCAAAACACTGTGTCATAGTGGTTTGTTGTGTTATGATGCAGTAGCAGAGGCCAGAGAAGTTCTCTGGCAAAGTAGACTGTTTGTGTCTTTTGTTGTAGTACACATCAAAGACTAGCTAGTATTGTGTGATGCTTTCCAGTGAGTATTTCCTAGTATGAGGCAAGGATAAAAATTCTGGGTAATAGGATGCATGTTTGAGACAGGAGACATAAGTGAGTTGGTACAGATACTTGCAAGAATTGTTTTATTGTATGATGCTTGTAGGTACTAGTATGACAACAAAGAACTGTTTTATTGTATGATGCTTGTAGGTACTAGTATGACAACAAAGTACATGTTACTAGTACTACTAGTAGCTTTCCTTGGAGAATATATGAGCATGTGAGGGACAAGTCTGTGGTTGCAGGGCAAATAGTTCCAGACTTTTTGTTCCCAGCCACCTTTGTTGCAGTAGTGCTGTTTTCTGGGAATGGCAATGGTCATGAAGGTTTTTATTGTGTTGTCTCCAGAACAACGCATTCCCAACATCAAGATTATTCATACTCTCTTTGACAGTGATGTTGAGATACAAATAAGAAAGTAATGGACTAGAAGCTTTGCCTTACCCCTAAGAGACAAATGTTGATTTGCATTATAGCCAATCCAAGGGCACTATAATTTTCAAACCAAATTTTGTCAAACACACAAACCTAAACTTTGGTTCTGAAAAGCCTAAATAGTACATACCTGACCAGTGCCTTCTGGCATCCAAACCACCATGGTGACACCCCTTCAGAAGGGGAAAATCCCTCCCCCTGGTCCTTGTTAATAAAGCTTCAACCAAGTTAATAGCACCAATGGTGCTGATGAGATCAGTATTGGTCCTCCTAGTCCCCCCAAGCTATTGGCAGTTTTCCTAAGCTAAATCTATCCCCTGTTCTTCATTGGGAAATATCTTCTGGTGTTGAGGTTGCTTCCACATTTTGTGTTGGCAACAGCAACAACCCAAGCCCCTAGTACTCAACCAAGACAATTTGCTGGCAATGATGAGCCCAGCATTATTCCTCCTAAGCTCCCAGCTGGTGGCAGTTTGGATCAGCTAGATCCATCCATGATTCCCCTGGAAGATGCTTCTGGTCATAATGTGGTTGTTTCCAACACTTGTGGACAACAACAACAACTTCAGCCCCCAGTATTCAACCAATTCCTTTCCTTTGAAGAACAACACCTCAAGTCTATGCTACATACTCAGTTTAAGGAGATCCACCACCAGTTAAGCTCCATGTGCTAATTGTTCCAGTATTTACAGATGGGACAAAGAAGACGCTTATGGTCCTGATGTCATTGTTTCTGACATTTGTGTTGGACAGCACCAACAACAACCCAAAAAGCTTGTATGAAAGCAATCCAACCAAGCTGGTGCTGATGAGATCAGTTTGCTCCTCCCTAACTCTGTTCCTCTTACAGACCGGAAGAAGATATTTCTGGTCTCAAAGTTGTTGTTGTTCCCAATATTTGTGTGGGGCTGCAGCAACAACAACCCCAGTATTAAACCATGACCTCGT